GCCATCCACACACACACACACACACACACACACACACACACACACACACACACACACACACACACACACACACACACACACACCCTCATCTCCTTGCTCTGCTGCTGTCTTGACTCCCTCTACAGTTCATGTTTGTTTTTGCAGTTATCATTAACATGTTTGTTGTCTACACCTGGACCAACATCTGTTTCTTTTCTGCCCTTTCAGCCAGTCGAGACACACGGCTCCTTCCCTCCTGGTTCTGCTCCACATTTCTACTTGCTTTCTCTCTGTCGCCTTTGTGCTGATTAGGATGTGTAGCTGCGATGAAGTGAAGACTGGACACAATGTGCTGGCTTCCTTACAGGAATACCTTTTAAATAGTTGGCATTTTATAATGTTTATGTTTTTAGAGTGCTCTAAGATTACTTCTGTTGTGAATTAACACTAGATAAATAAAGGAAGTTGAATAGAAACTTTGCTGAGTTACTGTGTGAATGCTTATAAAGCAACTATTGATATCCATGATTTAGTATGTTTTTCAGCAAGTAGCTTGTTTCACAATGTTTCTGCTATTACAATTCCTATGTGAAAACATTCAACTCATTCAAAACATTCCTGCTATGCTTTTTGGTGTCTGTTCAAATTTGTAGATTTTTTATGCCACGATTTTCTCATTGAAAACTCATGGAGCTAATCTCATCCTTCAAACCCTCTTACTGCTCATTTCAGCTCTTTTCTTTTTCTATAGCACTTCTATGGCATTTCCCCATTTCCAACTTTCTTATCTCCTTGTCCTTTGCACTGTTTCCAACCTTTATGTTTATGGCCTCTGAGTTACGATGTGTGTGTGTTCCCAGGGAAGGAGTGGACAGAAGGCGAGACACACAGATAAATACAAAGGAGTGAATAGCAGCAACAGGATAGTTGTGTTTTTCACAAGATCTTTTCTTCACATCTGGTATGTACACTTTCCATCTGTTGCCCAAACTGGGCTACGTGTATGTGTGTGTGGGTATATGCATGTTATAGCCTTTTTCTTTATAATAACTGATGAAATCCCAATAACTGGATAAAATACCTGTTTAACACAAACATTGAGCTGTTTGTGAGTCAGCAGGTGATCCTAGCCCTGACTGTAAAGCCACACTTTACTTTTAGTCTGTTTTTTCTCAGTTTATGAAACATGCTGTTATTAAAACAGTAAAGTTTTCATCAGTTGTTCTTTGTTTTATCATTTGAATGTTTTTTTTTTTTTAGATGTTTTCAGCCAAAAAACACATTTCATGTATTTTATTACACTTGCTGCTGAAGGCGAAAATGTTTTCAAGTTTTGCTGGTGTGTGTGTCAGTGCTTTGCCAAAATAGTTCTTTATCTATAACAATATATTTCCGGGTTCATTAAAATATAGTAAATGGACTGTATCTATATAACACCTTTCTATCTTATCAAGATACTCAAAGCACAATTTGTGCCTTCATTTACCCATTCATACAGCACTCTACTAGATCTGTACAAAGATTAATCAGAGCGTGAGATCACATTCAAACACCGATGGGACACGCATTGGAGGAAATGAGGGGTTCATTGTCTTGCCCAGGGATGCTTCAGCATGTGACTGCTGGTGGAATTGAACCACCAACTCCTGCATTGGAAGACGACTGCTCTAAACACTCAGCCACAGCTGCCACCTAAAATATAGTAGATTTTAATGAAAATTCTAAGAACAAAATCATTACAACAGACTAGTTTTTGGAGTCAGTTTGATCCAATACGGCTGCCACAGACAACTGACCACAACAATGACTCAATCCATTCTACAAATACTGAACTAAGATTTGGAGTGGTAGTAGCCTTGACAAATCTCCAACACATACTCTGAGCATTAAAAGACACAGATTTTTGTTTAAATGTATTAACTATTTAGAGTCAACTCTGTTTGTCTGTTAGCAAAACATATCCCAAATCAATGGACCTGTCGTGATTGCAGGTCTTTTAAGGTAGAACCCAAGGATGCAGGCAGGACTCAGTCGACTCGGTGGTAAAATAAGAAGACACTTTAATAACACAAAAATAAACAGCTGTCGAGGCAGAAAAACTTATATAGAAAATCACGAGGAGGCACTCAGGAAAACACTAGGGACTCAG